TGTGAACGCGGACCACACTGGAATGTATTTGCTACATAATAACAATTTTATTGCCTGGTGCGGACCAAATAATCGAACTAGCGGTGTGAAAACGCCCTAATGTGTTATAACCGAACAATTATGAGTTATTGTGAATACGCTGACAATTTATCGGTCTCAGACAGTTTTTTGTTTTTTACGTGTTACAAATGAACAAAGTTGAGAGTTAATGTAACGAGTAAACGCGTTAAATAAAGTTTGATTTACCTTACTGTTGTGTTTCGTTTAACGCGCCTTATAGTCCGCCTAATCACCCGGAAAATATGGTAATAACATAAAATATCAGAAGTTGGCTGGCAAGTCCAAAATATATGTATGTCACTGTATTTTTTGTATAGAGGGATATAAGGCTGTTCACCACTTCTTCCATTGTGCCTTGAGCCAGAGTCAAACAGAAAAGTCCAATAAGATTAGTCTATTCTAGTAATGCAAGTGAAATAAAACTCACTGGTCTTCTATCATTTTGAACAAAATCACATTTCTCTCACCTCGTATGAACAGAATTGAGTGTTTTCATGACCTTTCCCTTGTAAGCAGCCATATTTGTTTTGATATGGACAGGCCAAGTGTGTCCTTTATTGACAAATTCACCTGTCAATCACACCCATTTTAGCTCAGAGAGATGCAACAGTGACCAGTCCCACATCTTCATAAAGTTGTGTCACCTTTACATTGGGACATGTGCCACAAGATCTTTCTAAATCAAATTGCCACAAGATTGTGCATGCATGAAAATAATGATCTTGTGAGATTTCTTTTTCATATTGTTACATTTGGATTAGATAAAAATGGCATTAAGTACTGGCAAGTTACATTTTCTGAGAATCTGTAGTCCCCAAAAGAAGTGCTATAATGACAGCAGAAATATTAAATAAAGTAAATCAAAAATGGTGAGGCCAAAACTGGGAACTGGATTGCACAATTTATTTACTATAATGTCAAAATCTCCTCTCATCTCATGTCTCGTCTCATCTTGTGGAAATTACATCTCGTCCCCCTAATCACCATTATTCCATTATTATAGGTATAGTGAGGTGTAGTATTAATGACAAAAAAAATTATATTTCAGATTGGAGTAAAAGTCCTATGAATGTGTTAGTCATTTTTTATTACTCTGCGCACATCTAAAGCTGTTCTAAAAAGCATTGCCCTTCTTCGCTCTAAACATTCTAATGTTCCAAATGGATGTGGTGACATTCACATATTTTCTTCAACTGTGGCCAAGCGAGCGCAGGTGAGAAGGGATTTCATTTCTCTTCTGCGGCGCTATTCCTGGCTCTCTCTGTGTTTAAATGCCAATAGCACAAATGCCTTTCAGGAAAGGTATTCTCAAAGTATTTGCATTTCATTATCTCACACAAACTGATAATGGCTCTGCAAAGTCTGTCTCCCAGTGACTCACCACAGCTCACAGCTCAGCGGAGGAGCCGGCTGCTGTGAGAAGTAAAATATTAACAAAATGAATCTTTCACACAAGCACAATGAACCTAATACTACAACAGCTAATTACATGTGATGAATTGCAATCATGAGATCTTCAAACTATAAAATGCTATATTGCTATTAGAAGTGTCAATCATGATGACAGTGAGACATGAGTTCTTGTTTTGTCTAATTTCCACTTTGGCAAATGTAAAATACAATTATCGGTACCAGTTACTAAGTGCATTAAGTTAGCTATTTTTATTTTTTTAATGTTGCATCAAGTGAGAGATCTAATGGCATCACTTTGTTCCATAGCCTGTATAAAGAAGTGGACTAAGGGAGTGTAATGTGTAGCGTTCGGTTCCAGTCAAATTAAGCTCATTGAGGCTAGTGGTTTTATGGGGCACATTTGGAGCCCAGTTCCATATTTGGAATTTTGACCAAGAGAATCATTACAACCAAAGCCAATCAGGAACAAGGCTGCTGAAGGTAACTGATTGATTTACAGGCAAAATATAAATATATAATACAGAAAAACAAACAAACTAAAAAAAAAAACAGGATCATGTAGAGCATTGATTTCCAAAGACTGGGTGGCAACCCTCAGGTGGGTCGCAAGAGATTATTTTTGGGTCGCCTTGTCATAATCTGCATATAGGTCTGCAATATGCAATATACAGTTCTGACACATGTTGAAATGTTAAGACATAATTTGTAATATTTTTGTAATATTATTGACAATTTTGTTTCAATATTGTTGGTTCAAGTGAATGCTGAAAAGAAAAAGAAATGGGCTACATTTAAATGTCCAAATAGGCAATTTATGGATCCCTTATATTAGTGGTTCAATTACTGTTTTTCATTGTTTAAAACTTGAGTAATACTTATTGTTCAGAGAGACATGATCACTCAGTGAACAATAAAATATCCTCATTAATGTTCAATAATGGTCAAATCCAGCTTTGTGACTTTTAAAATATGGGTTCCCAGAAAAAAAGTTTGGGAAACACTGATGTAGAGTGAGTTAATTTTAAGACCAAAATGATGAAGCTCACAGCCGTGGTTACAGAGAGAGAGGAGATGGTTGTTCAATAGAAAGTGAAATAGCCCCAGATTCGATGGAGCTCAACGCGTGCCCATGCTCACTTCCAGTTTAGAATGCGGTGGCTGCCAAGTTTCCTATGTCCATTTATATATACAGTCTATGCTCTGCTCATTCAAGAAACCTGGTTTATCAGAGTGTAGGATAACTGGAGATCATACTCAGACTAGCATGTGTCTCATGCTAAGAGAATACTCACACTAATCCCTAATGTTGGCCATCACAGATAGGAGACACTTTCAACAAGACTCTCAAATTTTTTTTTAAAAAGACAGAAAAACTCTTGACATGCAAGAGCGAGTCTGCTCCCAGCAAATCATTTCTGATGGCGATCTAATCATAGACGTGTATTTGTAGCTCAAGTCTCTCAAATGTCAAATACATTTTGTCTCGAATGTCTGTCTACCATTCAGAACAAAATCTTTGACTTTTCACACCTCAGATTAACAGTGTTACATTGATTTGGCAGAAGTCTACAGTGTTTCTCCATCTGTGTGATTTCTTTTTTTTTTATCCACTGCCTGTCCATCACTCCCATTTTAACTGAGGGTGACAAGATTATGCTTCTTTATATAGAACAGGTAAAGTGTGTAGACTTGCTGCCCCAGGTATCTACTTTTTATTGCTTATATAATGCCTTATATTTATACTGTTTACTAACAGTTCAGCACTGCTAACAAAGTCAAATCAAACTGAAACACACACTGATATCTTTATAGAAGCACAAATGCAAGGAGCAAGGAAATGAAAGGATGTACTGTGGTCCAAAATAAAGTAAAAAAGAAAGAAAGCTAAAGATCTGATCAAAGCTTTTTGCTGAAATGTGATCTCAAAATAAAAATGGTCTGTGCAAATAAAGTGTGCTAATCAGCACTAATTAACATATAAACAAAAGCATACACTTTCTATAGGCCTAATTTGTCTTGTGTTGTCACAATTCTAACATTTCAAACATGATTACAATACTAAAGAATATACTTAAAAATCTTGATACAGATTTTGATACCCAAATGATAATTTTAATTATAATTTTCAACACAAAATAATAGAATTTGTTCATTATTATACCATGTGGTCTTAGTTTTGATGAAATTCATGAGGAAAGTTGAAACTATGTCCAGTTATGTTTCTTTTTTTCTCCATGGAAATATTATTGCTTTGTCTAGAATGTTTCACAGTATAGATTAAACCTAATAAATTTACATTTGACATTTCCCTTTGTTTGTTCCCATCTTTTACACACAAACAGCGAATTCGCCTCTGAAAACGGATCTTTCTAAAAACTCCGGCTAGACTGGAGATTCTGGAAAACTATGGTTTCTTGTTTGCGTGTAAAGTGAGATAAACGGAGTTTTAGGCAGCTCATGTGCCGAAAGTGCCACCAATGTTTTGCTCTGATGATGCTCATGAAGCATTCAGAGCTGCAGTTGCATTTCTTCTGCTGCAAACACTTTTTGCACACACTGCAGATGTATCATATCAATGACCAGAGATGAATGAGGGCTCAGAGGTCAGCAATTTTGCCACTTCTTTAACATATCTGTGGAGAGGCGACCCTGCTCAGTAATGCACATTTTTCACGGTATTTTTGAGTAGTACTTACAACTGTAAGGAATAAATGCTACAGGTTTGAAACTAATCCACGTGTCACACATAGTTTTGGCGCAGTTATGATGGCGTCCGATGGTGTATTTATGCGGGTTGACGTAAACGAAAACTTTTTGAAAACGATGCTATGTGCACGATGTTATTTTGGAAAACGGAGGGAGGGAAATATTAGTTTCTCAACATATCCGGCCATGTGTAAACGTAGCCTAATGTCATACAATGGAACATTCCAGGCAAGGCAATGGAAACAATCTTGTGGTGGACCCCCTACCAGAAAAGTTACACAGTGCACTTTTAAGTTGGTATTTAGTTTCAATACTAGTTGCAATATTGATTAATATCTGATACTTTTGACAATCCTATTAATACAAACAATGTACTATCCAGACCAAATCAGATCTCGGCTGGCTCCCTTGTGTCTCACTAGAATTCTTTTGTGACCAGGGGCATACCACTTGATACTGCTTGGCCCACACTACATGTTGTCTAATGAAAAATGCACATTACAAACTATGTGAAGGCCCCTTTCTGCAATGGGCCCTGGTTAAATACAACCCTTTACCCCCTCAGTGTGTTGCCCCTTTTTATGATTCTATAACTGCACTGAACCTGTACAAAACCAAGTTAAAGCCACAGTAGCAATGTGTCCTATAAAAGCTCATATACTCCAGCAACACAGCCCTGACTCGCGGTTTATGATGCAGGGACTAGCCGCCGCGTCACCATAATGACATTTGAAATCTCTATTTGCCACATGAATGGAAGTGTTTGGCTGCGTCCGCCCTGGTGCTGTTTATTCTGCGAGTGTGCTTTAATTGGAATTCCGATGACTTGGCTCCGCTCGCCGTCAGCTGGTTTGTGAAGACACGAGATGGTTTTGAAATGTCAGCGGGCCTCCGTGCCTACCCTATCCGCTCCCGATCGCATCAAATGGTCTCCGCGCGGTTCTGACAGTTTGTTTTTGTTTGGTGTTTGCAGGTATATACGGGCCGGATGAAGGGTGGGCCGGAGCATACCCAGAATGCAGAGAGAGGAACCAGTCGCCAATCAACATCGTGGATCAGGAGGCGAAAGTGTCCATAGAGTACCAGGAGCTGACACTAGAGGGCTTCAGCGCTGAGTCATCCAACAAGACGTCCATGAAGAACACTGGGAAAACAGGTAGGCTCAAACAATACATGGCTATTATTTTAAAGACTAGATTTAAAAGGAAAAATCTGTTTTGCAGTACAGATATATTATAAAGTCAGTTCTTAGGGTCAAAATGAGACTTGGCTATGTTCATTTAGATATTGTCTTTGAACGTGATGGCAAAACTCATCGCTTTAAATAATTTGCATGCAAGGAATATGTTGGGAAAGTGAGGAATAACTTTGGACCACTGTAAATCAGTTCAGATGAGATAAATCGGTTCTTTTTTAGATGGCAAAAACAGGTTTTAAGCTTTTAAACTAATCACACAAAATTGGGGCTGTATAAGACCAAATTGACCAGCAATTCGACCACTATACTTAGACCACTTCCACACATTTCCACACCCCTTTCCTAAAAGAGACATCAACGCCTGTAGTGCTTTATAATGTTCAGTTACCGTAAACGTCCTGGACCCAATTTTCCCCATGTTTCTGAGTAAAATTTGTCTTGCCCCAGTGTAGATATAGGCTACTTTAAAAGCAACTCTTAAGGTCAAATGTGTGTGTAATGGGTGCTGTTTGCATCTAATTACAAAGCATTGTAATGTCCAATAATCAGGAAATGGTCATTAGCATGATGGCTTTACAGTAACAAGCAAAACTGTACCCAGATGCTATGTTATTAGGTTCTTTTTTTCAGACCCAGAGTGTTATTTCATACCCGACAGTTTCGACTGCTCACTAGCGTCTTCCTCAGAGTGGTCACGTGATGTTGCTGTGATGAAATAACACTTTGGGTCTGAAAAAAAGAACCTAATAACATAGAATATCGGAAGACCAAATGAATCTCATTGGACTAAAACTGTACCCAGCCGGTTTCACTTCGTGGAAACCGTCTGACTTTGCAGTGTTTGTTCGCTCAACGGTAGGTGGGTACTTTTTTAATTTAACCAATCGCCAGTATTTGGTCGTGATGAATGTAATGCGCCGCTAACGGAACTAAGTGGTTGGTAAGGTATGGTATGGTATGTGGTAAGCTTTTCCCAAATCCCTTAGGAAGAAGGGCAATAACGCCTTGATAAAATTCACCCAAAATTTTCTTTGTTGCGGCTTTAAATCCTCGATCTCAGGAATCGTTGCCAACACAGAATGTATGGATATTCGCTGATTGGCTGGTGCCTGGACTCGCACTTTCGGGGTTCTTGCAAACCATCTAGTGTATTCCGATTCCTCTTCTAGTCGCTGGAGAGAAATGAAATTGAGCAGAGGCACTAGGTGGCACCAGCCTGACAAGCAAAACTATCCTCTGGCCTCTAAATGTTGTGAAAAGTGGTAATTAGGATGCTTTGAATGAATAAATAAGGGGGAATAGCTTTGGACCACTGAAAACCATTCAATTCTGTTTTGTACATTTTTAAGAAATTTGTGTACAGAGCCTAAAATTCAACGCCTTACAACAGTGACTTCAAACCCCAACAATCTAACTTGGCAGTTTTCAATGAATACATGTGGAGCCTGTGGGAGCTCGGTTTTGGAGATGTTTGTGTAAGGAAAATGCATTTTAGAAATACATCATTTGATATTGGTTTCCATATTAGATGTAAGACAATTCAGTAAAATATATATATAAATACTTTTTTTTTGTATTTGAGAGTTTCGTTGTTGTGGCTGGCCAAGTTCTTGACAGTTAATACAATTGAATTATATACTTCTCTTCAGTACACTTAGCCTCTCTCTCTTGTCAGGGTGAGTTTGTGAGAGGCAGTGCAGAGTGAATATGAGCTGAGCCTAATGGCAGTATTGGCAGGTGTCCGTGTGTCAAGCCTGCGTTACATCACAGCGAATCTCAGAGCTCAGACAAGCACACACAGTCTTTAGTGAGAGCTACTGTAAGTGCAGGGAACAGACTGTGAAGAAATTGTGAATTTTCTGACATGCTTTGTGATTTGTATTTTATTTGGATTCCTTTCAAATTTTAAACACAACCAGAAGAAGAAAAAAAACAGAAATTTAAACTGACAAACTTGTAGTAACATTTCAGAACATGTGTGCACAGATATAAACTACAGGGTGAGCAGCTTTTATGAAGGATAAGAAGAATATTTTGTTGTTTGTAAAGGAAATTATGATACCTAACCTCCTTGTCAATGCCTGCTCTTGTCAGATCTCAGAAGCTAAGGGGGGCTAAGGGTTCGGCCCTGTTAGTACTTGGATGGGAGACAGCTGGAAATATCAGACGCAGCAGTGAAGCGCCAGTGGCAAAAACTCAGGTCAGATCTGTGGAGAGACTGCTTGTTTTTCTAGGTATTTTTGAGCTATAAAACCACCTGTAATTGAATAAATGTAAGGTAGAGATGCTTAATGTCATACTGTGGATCATTCCAGACAGAGTAATGACGTAGAACAAGCAAAAACGTTACATAATGGCACCTTTAATATTACTTAAAAAAATGCAGGCTTTGCTAATTGCGTCCATTTAAACAGCGATTTCGATTGCGATTAATCGTGCAGGCCTATAGTACATGAGCTGTGCCTGGGCAGGTGTCAAAGCTGTGGGCCACCTGCATTCAGTGTTCCTGGCATCTCCAACACCTCTTTGTCACCAACAGGTATTTTTCACAATTTGAGCTTGTCACTAAGATGGATGATGCTTTCTGCTCCCAGGAAAAGCCAGTTGAAAAGGCTTGGCGAAGACAGGCCACAGGTGGTTAGCGTCACCCCTGACAGACTGTGAATGTAGTGCAGTATGGTTAACTGGGGTGCTTTGCATATAGGACTGAACTCTTACCTGCAGTTGGAGGCTTTTTAAGAGACACACACATATCCAGTGAGAAGTGGAGTACACCCTTGTATGGAACAAGGGTCGTTAGTCGTTTTGGAGCAGTCCTTCCACTGGATAAATGCTTTTGTCACTGAAGTCTGCAGATACAGAAGGGGAGACTGAAGCAGGATTTGGAACTTGATATATAAAATACAAAATACATAAAATACACAAATACATGAACCCAGATACTAATTAATACTAAAACTACAACTGAAACTAGACCCTCATTTGATGAGATATTGATTCTGAAAAAGTCACAAAATGATTGAAAAATGACATTCTGTCTTATAAAAAAGAGCCATCGTGGTAGACCAAATCTTTTCCTTGGGAGTGAAATATGGTTGGTAAAAAAAAAAACATCTTCAAATTGTTACTTATAAACCAGAAAAGATAAATGGAATGAAACCCCTAAACGGCAACTAAGCACAACATGATTCAAGCCCTAAAGCCTTACTGAACAAGAAGACCAGTTTGCAGGGTTGCCAGGTTGGATTTGGCAGCTTTTCAAGAGTGTCACAGGTGACATGGACTAATGTCTGTTTGACCTAGGGAGGCACCGATAACAAAACTGGTATTGAATATGCTGATCCAGGAAAATTAGCAGGATCAGTTCCATGATGTCGGTACCTCCTGACTGCTATAGGCCCAGGACATCACATGATGAGGATGAACTTAAATTCATACAAAGCATTCCAATAGTTACTTGCAGGATACATACATAACAACTACACAAGTAACACAATCTGATAAATTTTGTGCTTTATTTTGGGAGAAAAAATGCCAATTCAATCCTACACTGATATCTGCTGATACTGGATATTTGCAGATACTTAAAGACATAGTATCGATATCGGGATCATAACTGAAAAACCTGGATCAGTGCATCCCTAGTTTGATCAGGGCTATTTTGCATGTAAAATGTGCCAGTTTTTGAAGAATCATGATTAAAGTCTTGAATTTCAGTGATAAATCTTCTTATCCAAAGTCATCAGCTCTCTGTGACTCTTCTGAGTGCATGACAGAGGAAGGGGTGAGTCTGTGCAACTTAGGATCGTTACTTTCACAAATATAAAACAAATGTATCAATAACAATAAAATGTTGAATCTTGATAATGGAAATACATACATTCAGGTTTGGTTGCTGAAACCAACCCTGCTCAGTGGCACTTGTGTCTCTGCGGCGCCATCGTGATTATTTCCTTTGGAGGTTGAACTAGTCGAGCAACTGCTGGGTGCAATAATAATAATAAGAGAGAGCTGTCGTACGACCAAATGGCATCAGACCACCTCATGACAACCACAATTTCAACCTTAAAGTTCAATTCAATTCGGCGGTGAAAGTAATATTTCCATAGCGACACAGGCCATCCCTCAAAGAAGCCACTGAGGGGTTACAAAGGTTAATAGAAACAGGTCAAACTGAACTGTCATACCCAGAATGCATCGGGGCTGTTCCAGCGCTCCACATGCTGTCAGCCATCCATACATCAGCTCTCACTGTCAAGGCTAACGCTAGCAATGACACTGGCATCACCATGGCGACGCCTTTTGCATACTGCATATCATCCACCTGCTTTTTGATAATCACAGAACCTGATTCATGCAATACAAAATATATTTTATAGTTTTTCAGTATGGTCTGTGAATGTAGATTTGATATTTCTTTTTTTATGTTGATGTGAGCTGGAAGTGGCTAATTTGCTATTTAAATTCACAACTTTAAAGAGCCTATATTATGCTATTTTCTGATCTATGGTATTATAATGTTATTTCCTCATCCAAAGCATTCATTGTGTTGTGTTTGTGTCATTCACACGTTTAAGACACAAATCCTACATACTTAGGCTGAGATCTTCTCTAAAAAAAAACCCAAAACTAATACCACATGACATCGATAGGTGAAAGTGAGGATTTTGAACTTTGGAGATGTAGACAGACTAATAATGAAGGACTACTCAAACAAAACACAACTCCAGGTTGTTGTTAAGGTAACAACATTATAACTCTCTAAATCTCTTAAAGCTCAAGGTTTCACTTGTAAATGATAAGACTTAATTTGAGTTTCACCAAAATCACAGTTATCACAAACACATTCAAAGTGAATTTTGAGATAAATTTGATGAACACCAAATATTGTGTAAATAGTTTTAAATAATGGCCATGGTCACATTTTTATATTGCATTTTTTCCACCTTCAAGGCGCTCAATCCAGTTTACATCAAGGAGCCACCCACACATTCATACATCAGTGTACACAGACACTGGGGGCATGATAGGTAAAGTGTCTTGCCCAAGGACACAACAGTATTCATCTGTGGGAGCTGGAACCACACCGCCAACCTGTGGTTCAGTGGATCTGAACAGTGATACCAGTACTAATGATGTTTATGTCGAGAGCAGGATTCGAATCGCCAATCTTCAGATCAGTGGACAAACACTCTACCAACTGCACTTTAACCTGCCTTTTCCACCACGCACTGGGCAACAGTGTCAGAACACGTGAGAACAAATAAAGAAGTGTCGGAGCTTTCTTGCGTCTCCTGTAGGCACCTGACAAAGACCTCCACCTGCACAGTTAGTGACACAGCCAACAGCCTCAGCGTGCACAGAGCATGCAAGAACGCTATGCAAACAACAGCTGTGAAACAAAATGGCGCTCAGCTTCTGTTCCTAGCTCTCTACATAATACATGGATAACAAGACAAATGTCCCCCCCTCTCTTCATGAATAATGCATTTCCGTGTGCATGACTTTGGAAACAACAGTTGGGTGGAGAGATTACCTGAAGGAGTAGCTGATCACTGCTGCCACAGACCTGTCAGAAGTGTCAAATACACCGTGTGACATTTCCTTTAGACAACATAGTATAGGTTAATTCATAGTTTACAACCTTGGCTAGGTATATTTTCCAATGTTGACAGTTTTTCTAATTTCTGTTGGGACTGGAGAGGCCAATGGGGGTCAAGCAATGGCTGCTCCCTAAGGTTCCGGAAGTAAATTTTCCACTAAATTTCTCTTCGCTTAATATGACATTTTTTCAAAGTCTATGGGAAAAGACATCGCAGAGGCTAAGCAGCTACCTGGTAACTTGTGTAAGTCCAAAAAGGCAATTTAAAACTCAAGATTCTGTAAAAAGTTTTAATAACTTTTTATAAAATTTATAATAAATGTATATTTCAGAAAAAAATTAAATAAAATGATAGGTCATGTGGTCATTAGTTAACATGTACCGGATTAACCCTGAGCAAGCTTCTGAACTTTTAATATTCATATTCATTCATTTAATATTTTTTTTTTTTCTGAGAGACTATGAGAAAAAAATTATGGGAAATTTAGTTTTGGAGCTGGAGGATGAGCAGTCACTTTTGAGCTCCAGAAGGGTGTCAAGTGTCTTGCTCAAGGACACAATAATAGTATGCAATCAGAAGACATTAAAACTGGTTAATTCATATTTGCAATCTTGGGTAAGCATATTTTCTGATCTTTTTTTTGGCCAGGTACTCTTCCTAATTACTATCTAGCTGTAACTAGAGAGACCAGTAAAAGTGTCTTGCTCAGAGACGCAATAGCAGTCTGCAATCAAGAGAGAGTTACAACTGGTGACTCTCTGGTTGGTTACCCAAGTGAGCGAGTCCTTCATAAGCCTGTTGTCCACTGTACAACACAACATGACAAATTTGCAATCATAAGACAGCACACATTCACTCTATTGATAAGCTCTGTTGTGGCGAGGTTTGTGTGAGCGAATATCAGGCTCTTAACTCTATTTGGTTAACTGAGGCTGGGACATACTAGCAGGGTTTTGGGGTTTGTAAATGTCAGTAAATGGAAATGGGAGATAAGGTGGTGGTTCACTGCTGAGCTCTTCTGCTTTTACTTTGATGGAGCACTTGTGTTTACAGTTGGTCACATGTTTGACAGAGATTGATAGAAACACTGAGAAGAGGGCGCACTCTGAGCAAGATTCATTAATATCACACACTGCTGGATATCAACTGCAGCTTGTTTTTTAATCGTAATTATTGCCCTTGTCACACTGTGAGACCTATTTCCAAAGTTTTTTAGCTATGGCTCAAGATATTCCCCATTTTAGTAATCTCTGAACTATAACTTGGTTTGGTTTGGTCTCCATAAAGGTAGAAAGGCTTAATACCATATTTCTGAAAGATTTCAGATAGTAATAATAGTAATAATATCTCCAGAAAAGCATTTGATGGACCCTCCACCAGTAGGGTCAGGCTGGCGGCATCTAGTGCCTCTGCTCAATTTCATTTCTCTCCTTGGACTAGGACAGGAATCGGACTACACTAGACCAGGGGTGCTCACACTTTTTCAGCATGCGAGCTATTTACAAAATGACCAAGTCAAAATGATCTACCTACTACAAAGCCAAGCAAACTGCACTGAAACACTCTGTGCCTCTTTTGTCTACTGAGATTCGTTTTGCTTGCTTCACGTTTCGTCTTGCTCTTCTAATCAGCGCGCACTGTGGGAGGGGCTTGTGTTCGCTGTACGCAGGAAGGAGCGAGAGCGTGAAAAGGCGAGGGGCGGCGTGCTGACGTGAGGCAGGTGGACAGGTAGGATGTTTAGGAAGTTTAACCTGCCCTGTGACGCACACTGGTACATGAGGGCACACGCTGTTGCAGACAAGCCGTGCATAGGGAGCGTGTGTATTTGTGATGCGCCGCAGAGTCCAAGAGCAGCGGCCGTAATGAAATATGATCGCACTTGTTGAGTGTCAGACCTTGAGTGAGAGACAAGACCGAGTCCAAACGCGAGTCCGAGGCGAGACACGCCGATCTACCCACACGACCTTGGCGATCGACTGGTAGATCACGATCGACGTATTGAGCACCCCTGCACTAGACAGTTTGCAAGAACCCCAGAAGATGTAGACAGCGCACTGTGAGCTGTGAAGCGCCTGTCTGGGTCCCTTTTGTTGTACAGCACAACAGTAAACAAAGTGGTCGAGATGGATGTAGACGAAGCCATACATTCTGTGTTGGCAACGATTCCCGAGATTAAGGATTTAAAGCCAGAACAAAGAGAATGTTTGGTGAATTTTATCAAGGGGAAAGACATTATTGCCCTTCTTCCTACAGGATTTGGTGCATTACATACATCACGACCAAATATCAGCGACTGGTTAAATAAAAAAAGTACCTGCCTACCGTCGAGCAAACGAATCCTAATGCTGTGAAGCTAGACGGTTTCCACGAAGTGAAACTGGCTGATGCATCAGGCTAGCTTTTAAAGGGCCCATATTACTGCTATAATTTTGTTTCCTCATCACAAACATACTTGGAGTTGTGTTTTGTTTCATTCACACATTTAACACACAAATCCTGCATATCTAGGCTGAGTTCTTTCCTCAAACCTGTGCTCCACTGTGTTTTTCATCACCTTACATCTTCAGTACAATTATTTGGATAATTTCAGCCCTGGATTTGCAAATTTCTACTTCTCTACTTGAAAACTACCAATTCATGACATTGCAAGGTGGAACAGAGCATTTTGAGCTTTAGATATGTAGACAGACTAATACTGACATATGAGACAGATTACTCAAACATGTGTGAATGAAGCAAAAGACAACTCCAGGTATTTTTATGATGAGGTAACAACATTATAACATGGCTTAAAACTCACAAGAGTCAATTTTGTGTAAAATAAGACCTTTAAAATTGTGAATATCAAAATTTTAACTATCAGAATATCAGTTGTAACTATCAAAAAATGAAAACATATTTTCCTGTGATTCCACTACTACACATTGTGTTGCCAGATTCTCATCCCAGCCCTTACCACTCTCAAACCACTTCGTATCAGGAGCGTAACTATGACTTTAAATCCAGGTGACTTTCCAAATTGAACTCATTCCCGCAGAACAAAGAGGTGGCGTTTCGGATCTTTCTTGGAGAATTGGCCGAAAAGTGGCTGCACTGAACCAGGTCATACTTGAGTGGTTATGTTGTGTCTATAAATAGCAGGACTGAAGTGAGAGGGCACCGGGGTGACGACTCGGGTTAATGGAACACTGCAATACTTTCAACATTTGTCTATGTTCTAAAATAAGGACTATTTTAATTTGGACTACATTATAAAGAGTGCAGAAGGACAATGTGTACTGAATATGAGGTCATTACTCCACCTCTTTGTTCCCTCTTGATTCAAATAGAAAAAAAACCCCACAAAAACATACAATTCTACAAAGTATTGATACCTGTATGTGCTGGGGTTTAAAGGGCACATATTACATTGTTTTCTGTTATAATGTTGTTTCCTCATCACAAACATACCTGGAGTTGTGTTTTGTTTCATTCACACATTTAACACAGAAACCGTGCATATCTAAGCTGAGTTCTTCCGATGTCATTTCGTAATACAGAAAGCACTCCATTGTGTTTTTAAACTCCACAAACCTTCACTAGAATCATTTGGATGATTTTAATTTGGAATTGCCCATCTCTAATGGACAAAAAACTACCACTTCATGACATCACAAGGAGAAACAGAGCATTTTGAGCTTTGGAGATGTAGACAGACTTAGAAAACATGTGACTGAAACAAAACACATCTCCAAGTATGTTTTTGAGGAGGTAACAACATTCTAACATGGCTTAAAGTTCACAAGAGTCCATTTTGTGTAATATAGGACCTTTAATGCATTCTTCACTTATTTGAAAATATACTATTCTGTTTTGTTATTGTGTTGCCTGAGTCCAAGTTTGCTGATACATAACTTTTTAACTCTGTTGTTTTTTCTCTTTCCAGTGGCCATTATGCTGAAGGATGATTACTTTGTGCGAGGAGCAGGACTGCCAGGCAGGTTTAAGGCTGAAAAGGTGGAATTTCACTGGGGCCCAAGCAATGGTTCAGAGGGATCAGAACACAGCATCAATGGACATCGGTTCCCTGTGGAGGTAAGAAGCCAATCTAAGATAAAGGCAGTGGTGACAATGGGAAGTAGCTAAATATGTATATGTACCTTGAAATTTGTGTATCAAATTGTGATTAATTTTATGAAGTTACAGTTACTATTTCATTTGGTGCAATTCAGAATACAGGTCCATACTTCATCTTAGATTTTTTTGTTCAAACTGCATGGTGCTAGTAGGGAAACAAAACCCTGTGCTTGCGGTAAGTGTGTGATTTTTTTTCCTTCTCAACTTTTTTTCATTCATTTTTTTCAACGATGCAGTTCAGTCTGATAGTATTGCAAGTATTCTGTAAGTGAAGACATTTTCCTGTCACTGATTGTGGCACAAAGAAAGAAAAGATTCTGGATAGTTTGGTTCAGTGTTGTTATAAAAAATTATAAACATATCAGGGCCATGCTATTGAGTTATTCATATATCCAAGGTCTAAAACAAATCCACGCTTGTCATATTGGTTTTCTTTTAGACAAACATCTTTGTTAGTGAGCTGTATTTACCTTGTCATTTTTGTGCTGCTGGCTGTGAGCCTTTCTCAGAACTGTCACTGGTCTTGACGGAGCCGTGTCACATATGTGCTGTTGTTCGTACCTGAGGCGTGGTCAGGCTGACGCTGGACCAAAGAGGCCATTGAAATCAGAAAGTGGGGTGCAGGCACTGTCAGTCGACATGGAGGAGCATTCCTCTTTTCACGCACCCATCTCCAGGCAGCAAGAGGTGTTATCAAACCATCATGTCTGTCAGGTTGACCATATACTGTACTGTAATACTTGATCACAAGCAAAAGGTTTTCGGATGTCATTAAAGGTCTTATATTATACAAAATTGACTCTTTTGAGCTTTAAGTCTTGTTAGAACGTTAGAACAAACACAAAAACATACCTGTAGTTGTGTTTTGTTTCATTCACACATTGGCGTTATTAAGTATTATTAAGCTGTCTACATTACCAAAGCTCAAAATGCATTGTTCCACCTTGTGATGTCATGAAGCGTTAGGTTTAGGGATGTAACAATAACCGAAATATCGTGATATTGTATCATCAAAAATCTCACAATAATATCATGGGCTGCCACAGTATATCAAATCAAATGTTCCTTTGTTTAAATTCATGGTTTTATAGTAGCAACAGCTTATAATCATAGAGAACTACATATCCCATGATTCATTTCAGTGCAGACAACATAAGGAGATATGTTTTTAACTTGAATTCTTGGGATTATGATGGTAATAATTAGAGCCTGACCGATATATCGGTTGGCCGATATTATCGGTTGATATGGACAACTAGAGGCATGTCGGCTATCGGCCGATATGTTTGCTGATATGTGCCGATATTTCCCATGGTCATGTTATACTTCGTTATAAATCTTAGACTCTCTATATTATGTTCATTTATTCCAATTTACAGTCAGATAAATGTCCTAAAATGTGTCTCCGCATCAGTATTTATCCGCGGAGTCATTTGTCAGTGTGTGTCTGTACTGTCCCTGAACACATCCCCAGAGTCGCGTCACTCACGTGTGTTTGTTTACACCTGCAGACACAGATCCAAACACTGAGATTTTATTCTTTTTACGGACAATCGGTTTGAGTCTGGATTAAAAGGACATTTATTAGTGCAGACTTGTGATGTGAGGAGGACCCTGTGTGAGCGGTGAGTGTTGGAAATATGTCGACTTTGAAGCTATTTTTTTCTCATTAGTTTGCTATTAGCTGCTGTGGCTCCAGCACATAAACAAGCTGTTTTCTATTGGCCTATTGTAAAGTGACTATATTGGCCGTATATTTGTTACTGAACCTGCATTGATATGTAAAGGAGCTGTGAATAGAGGTGTGAATGATGATACTTGCGCATATATTAAAGGTTGTATAGTAGTGATTTTCCAAGAGAAAAGAGAAATCCAGCTTGTTGACTGTTTTTGTCCTTTTTCAAATGTTGCGCATGCGTGAAACCAGCCCCCTCCCCTCACAGCTCCTACGTAGAGAACGCCTTCTCCAGTGATTCGCGCTTCTCCTCTTACTTACGCCCAGAAACAGGTTTCTGTTTACAGCAGAGCTGGTGCTGCACATGACTTGTGATGGTCTTTATTCATGAAGAACTTGAAAACACCGACATGTGTCAAACGAATGCTTTTGTCATGAACTATGGAGCTATAACAGAATTGCAATTTTAGCAGCTCTTTGCCCACAGCGAACAACTCGCTACAGCACTCGTTCAGCAGTTGCTTACCGAACATTCTGCTATCTTGAGGACGAAACAGTAAAATACTCTTACAAGATCTTGCTCCATGGGAAGGAGATAGTGTTTCTGGTGTGTTCTGGTACACCACGAGCCCAAAGAAATCTCGAGAGTGGAGAATCCACACTTTCAGCCTGGGCCATGCTCACGTTGGAGTTGACCGAAGGGAAGCGTGACTGTCTTATTTTTCCGGATCCGCGGCGGAGGCGCGGCTGATCCGCTGCGTATCTCGCGGACCCGCCCAGGACCCGTTTTGGATCCGCGTTCAGAACCGGGTTATCTGGCCCGGATCTGATGCGATTCTGCCGCGGATCTGTTTATTAAGTCGTTAGGAGCCTAAATGTGTTTCAGATTTAATTCTGATCCACTTCCTACTGACCTAAATACGCACAGCAACATTCGCATTGAAACTGTACATAAAACACCTTTTACAGCAAGTATCACAACTAGGATGTAGATGCTTACATTTAAAAACATGAACCTCAACAACTCAAAGTTGGATCAGTGATATCCTAACATTAAATCTCATTATTTAACAAAAGAAGCAGCAGATTTTTTTACAATGTAAACGATGTTTATTTTATTCATTTATTACAAATCTTAGAACATGAGTAATTATTATTAACGGTATAGGACTGTATGCCCTTTGAGTTAACCAATGCATTGTTCTAAAAATGAAAATTACAATTTGCAGTCTTTACTAAAATAGTTCATATTAAGCAAAGTTTTAAAAAAAAGCAAAAATACAAATATAAGCCATATGAGTAAAAGCATGGACAGATGAGAGTAGCCAAATATCTTATTCTTAAAACTTAACTTTTACTTCTGATCAATGTGCAGGGGCTCCTTTTGGGGACACTCAGCAGAAGAGCGGTCATCTGGGGAAAAGAATATAAGTTTTGGTTGGTTAGCTAATGTTATCTGTTGTTAAAAGTTATGCCTTACATTATTGTATTAACGCACCGACATGATTGCACTTTAGTCTTAAGAGTCAACACACTGCAGAAATAATAATAATCTGTGGTTAAAAACACAACCAGTTCAGACACCGGTGTCACAGTGGCTCCACAGCCGAGGGGAGAGCTTCAAGAGGGTGTCCAGCCAGAACCGAGCCCGTTAGCAACAACTAATGATCACAGAGCAGAGTTATAACTGCGTGATCGTAAAAACATATATGAATATAAGTAGCGTTATATAAAAATAGTATTTAGATTGAGATTTACCTTAAGAGATGGAGTTGTCTCGACACCCAACCTCGCTTCATCACGTTAGCTGCTACTGTCACTAACTTTACTGCTACTGCACTCATCAAAACTGATAAAACACACAATCACAGACGTACGTACAGACATCACAATCTAACGTTAACATTGTGTACATTAATGATGACTAATACAATTAACTTTTAAACTATTACTTACAGTTAAATCCGCGGACAACAGGTGAGTGCTCCTCCTTTCCTCTCAGGTCCTGCTAACAGCTGATGAGTCAATGACGCGTCCGCAAAGCGAATCTGAACCGGTTTAGCCGCGGATCCGCTCATTGATAGAACAGCCGATCCGCAAAGCGGACTGACTGTGGGGAGAATTTGGGGGACCGAAAGCGGATCTGCTGCGGATCCTAATGCTATCAGGGTCCTTATATCACGAAATAACGTGATAATTTCATATCACGTTATAATGTGATCATTTCACGTTATAACGTGAAAATACCACATCATGAAATAACGTGATAATGTCATATCATGAAATAACGTGATAATTTCACGTTATAACGTGAAAAATATCACTTTTCACGTAATTACGTGATACTGAGCCAAAATATTTTTTGGGGAGTGAGAGCAATACACCACCGTAAATCTTGGGCTCGAGAGAGGGAGAGAGATAGAGACCGAGTTCCGACACTCAGTTCTGGTTTAGTCCTGTTTTACACATGGTTTAGATCCGTTTTAGTCCTGGTTTAGTATTTTTTCTGTCCTGGTTCAGTTCTGTTTTAGTCCTGGTTGCAACAAAACAATCTGAAGAGCCGCTTAGAACCCAAAAGAGCCAGCTGCTTTTAGTGAACCGAGAAAAAGAGCCGGTTCTCTAAAAAGAACTGGAATACCCATCACTAGTAGCTAGAATGTGATGCAAAAAATGCCATTAGGCCGACGTACTGTCTGTAAATATGACGTAAAGAGGCAGAATAACAATAAATGTTGCTTAAATAAACCCAATTTAAAATCAACTAGAGCCAAACCTAAGTTTTTTTTAAACAATTCAAGATTTACAGTGAATTTTTACATCACTAAATATATCGGTGATTATATCGGCTATCGGCAGCTTCAACTCCCATTATATCGGTTTCATATCGGCCACAACAAAATCCATATCGGTCAGGTTCTAGTAATAATTCACATCAATATCGTGTCAAGGCATTTTAAAAGCATAAAAGAGTACCAGTGTGTTATCACTATCATGTGTATTACCACATGACCTCACAAGAAGGAAGAGTGTTTTCTGTTTGAGAGAAGAACAACGCCTAAATATGCAGGATATGTGAGTTAAAAATGTGTGATTGAAACATAACACAACTCCAGGTAGGTTTTTGATGAGGAAACAACATTATAACAAACATCAGAAAATAGCGGTTCTTTAAGTCAGAATGTGCTTTAAAGCTGTTTCAGTTGAAGGCTGTACAATTCTGCAACCAGGTTATCCTAACTTACTCATTCCACGTACTAATATTAATAACATTAGTTCGAGTACA